TTAAGTGTGGTTCAGAGAGGTTATTTGGGCTGTAGAAGTTTTTCTTTGAACGGGGTTGAAATAGCGTCTCCTAGAGCGTTAGCAGAGAAGAGTATTACAGTATTTAGTATAAGCGTCCAGATTTCATTGTTGTTGAGATTGCCATAGAAACACACTTTCATGTAGTAGTCGCAGCAGCTTTAAAGTATATGACTTTTTAGTTAAGATGCCTTTCGAGTTTGTTTCATGGGTTGATAGGAAATTAAAGGGTAGATACAGATAAGTTACGAAAAAAAAAGTATGTACACTATCCTCAAAGATCAGCAATAAATAAAAGAAATTGATGAAATAGCAAAGTTGACTGCGATATCTTAAAATAAAAACAAATAATAAAATAGCAAAGAAATCAATAAGATAGATAAATTAATTTTGTATCAAAATCATAATAGCAAAAAAACCTACCACGGCCACATACACATAATATTTTCCACATATGAACTTTTCCCAGATAAATAGTCAAATATTTCACGATACCTTAACCTGAACACCTGAACATCGGAGTACAAACTTGAGCTTAGAATTAAGTTCCACTGAAATGGTTTAATTAAAATAACATCTGAGGGTTATCAGTTGTTTTTAATTCTACCTAATCCGATACCTTATTTCTAACCATCTAAAAAATGTATAAAACCGTTTAAAATAGAAGCTGTAACAAGTTGCGGGCTTCAAAACTAACATAACTGGGTGAAGGTGTGGTGGCGTCCGAATCATTCTACAGAGTGTACGACTCAAAAACTCTACAAAAAAGACTAGCCGTTGCCGTTTCTTTTCTTAAGCTTCGAAAGAAGAAAAGTGAACGTTACAATATGTAGAATATAATTTTTACAAACTCAGTAATTGTTTGCCCATAGACCAATGTCGCTGCGGTATAATCATATCCGTACCTTCAAATTCTTGAGTGTACTCTCGGTTGTTGAAATTTTGGTCACTCCTCCATGATGTTTGAAAGGTGTCGTTTTTGATTTTTTAACGACGCGGGCTACATCTGGCCTGACTTCTTTCGCAGTGTTTGATGTCACTGTCACCACTCAGTTTTAGATGCTACTGCGAAATTGAAACCCTTGTGCAGAACGGATGTTTCAGACTGGCATATGTTGTGTCTCGAAGGTAGACAGATTGAGCTCCAATAGGATCATCACTTTCACCAGAGATAGAAAACCACAAATTTTATCAATTTGCCTGAATTGGTGTCAGCGTTATGACGCCTTTTTCTAAAATGCCTAGGCAGTTTATAAAAAGCCTAAATAGAGATTAGACAAAATTTGTGAAAATTGATAAGCCAAACAAGGTAGGAACACAATACCAATTATAACATTCAAAAGCCTAAACAAGATCCCGGAATCAGTAAAAACCTTAGAGGACCACATTATTTTTCTATCTTGCTTCTGCAGACTGCTACGTAACTTTGGCAAAACTATAGACCGTCTAGCGATAGTTTTCACGCTTGCATACTTTTAATGAACATATTATAAGGCCAATTGAAAAAACATTATAAAACACGTAACTGGGTAATATGAATCTAAAAACAAATGAAAGAATGATGGATTTGATCCATATATCAACATACGTATACGCAATTCATTTGAAACAGAAAATTCCTGTGACGCACATATGTCAAATTTTTATAAAACACTCTCGTATATCAATGCACATTGCAGTTTATTTTGTCAATATAAAAATAATTAGAAGTATGCCGCCAGTGATCTATTTGTCGAGGGCAATATACAAAATATACTCGTCACTTTTCTGCTGAAGAAAAATGAGAAACTGCTTCTTGTAATCCTCCCATCTTTCGCCCTCTCTTCGTGGTTCACCAAACTGCTTGAATTACTTTGGTATACCAAAAGTGGTCGTGGTGTGACAATAACTGTGTAAGTCCAGTTTTACGCCTATGGTGTTTTAGTCCAATACTCAGACTTCATATTGAATGTATCGAACCGTTTACCTATACGGTATTCTTTTCATTTTTACAACTACGAATTAGTTCGCTCATGCCGGCTACGGTGCTCGGTGCTAGGGTGTACGATGACAGATGCAGCGATTGCAGATCTCCGACGGATTGCTTTGAGCGCTGCCCCCTGTGGGCTTATAGCAGCTAAGGGGACTGAGTTTACCTGGGTTGTTTAAGACAGTGGAGAAAGCGGAATGTCCACAGGTTTTGCGATCGGATCGGTGAAATAACAAGATCTCGGGATCATTACTATTGTTTCCGGATATATAAAAAAAATCCCTGCGGACCACTATGGAACTTTCGAAAAACCATAGGCCGCCTTCGGGAAAATTTCTCACATTCTTGGTACACCCTGCATACTATAATATCTGCCAACTATACTAAATCATGGTATTTTTTACACTCATGCATTGTACAACTTAAGAAAAATAAATTATTTTTAGCTTGGTCACATGCGTAAATCCAAATATTTTTTTACGATTACATCAGGAATAATTTATAGGTATTTATAGGCGTTGCGAAGCCCGGTGCCGAATTAGGAAACCCAAATCGGGCTTCCTAAAATTAAGCGTGTTTTTGGCAAATTTGTAAAAACTAGCGAAATCTGAATCGTTGGGACTTGACAACCAGTTGGGTTAAAGGTTTCGATTTGGCGCTAAAGCTCAAAAGCCGCTAAATTTTTTAGCAATAACATAAATGAAATGTAAAGATAAATGTGTGGGCTATGTTTTAGGCAAATTAAAAAAAAAACTGAGATCGGAGTTTTTTCTAAGCTATTGAAAATAACCAATTTTTTTACGGGTTTTCTTTAAGAATTTTCTAAAACTTTGTTTAAACGTAGGTACAACTATTGGTAATTTATTTCCAAAATTTGAACTCGAAATATGCAGTAATAAAGATTATTAATTGATTTAAAGGTGAAATATTAAACAGCCCCCTTAATTTCTGTAACCAAAGGTACAACAAATTCCGCACTTAGCATGGGTTACCAAGTGACACAAATGTTAGTTTAGCTCTTGTAGTAAAGATGGTAGCATTTGATTTGATTCAAAAATAATATGTATAATGAATTTGCTTGAAGGAAGCGGGTCCGCCTAAGAAGTTTACGTTTGTAATAATGTGTTTTGTACATTATCTAAAATGTATGACTTGACTTTAATGTCAAACATTGATTTATGATGCGAAAAATTATCAAAGTAATAACAAAACAAATAATAATAAAAATAAAACAAATATTTTATCAATAAAGGGCGGAATATATGCACGTCTATGCAGTTTCTTAAACTTCACTGCTTAGACTAAAGCTTGGCATAAGTCTTGATGAAACACCTCATAATTTAAAATTCAAGTCAGCTGAACATAATATATAACCAACAACATTCTCCAGCAGTTCTCAGCCGAAAAAATTGAAAAAAAGTTTGAAGATAAAATAATGAATAAACGCATAAAAAATTCAATAGCAATAATACGAAAATCGACCGAAAAGCACTTATCATAGTTTTCTTTTCGCGCAGATCATCTTCAAGACTCTAGAACGTTTGTTTCTTTTAAGTGTTCTACCATAGGTTCTACCATAATCGCTGTTTATTGAATAGCACAAACACACTTTTTTCACGAATCGATACAAACAATAAACTGCATTTTCAAGGGTTACCTTATTTAAATACAATCTGAAGGGTAATTAGAATTAAAGGTGTGATAATATTGTACCGATATAATTGCCTATAATTAAGAGGGTTATTTTGTAACTCTTAACGACATCGTTAACGGTTGTTAGGCAACAATCGTCGTAATTTTAAATAACCAAAAACGATCGTTTTCTTTCACTTTAAAAATATCCCATAAATACCTATTCATTTAAAACCATTAATGTGTACGCACATAAAATAATATTTTACCATTTTTTTATTATTTAGCTATTCTTTTCTGAGCCACTATAAAATATAAAATTATTAAAAATTGGTAAATTTTAGGTCTTCAAGAGAAAACTATACAAGGTGTTTCTTAAGTAACCTAAAATATTCAAGGAAGCGATTTTTGAGGCATTTTTTAAGAAAAAAACTTCATTTGAACCTATGTCCTAAACGTCTTAACTTTTGAGATACAGAAACAGAGAGAAAAAGATGTTTCCATTATATTCGTAATACCGCTTAAGCTATCCTCATGAAATTTGGTACGCAATTTACTCAACGTATTCATGCAAAGGGGTTTTGTGTTGTAAAACTTTTTTTGACTTTTACTTCCAGTGGGGTCCGTACGGCATGTGCATTGAAAATTTTTCTTAAAAATGCGTGAAGAATATCACAAAAATACAGGTTCTTTATATGACCACGGTACCGCGCGTGAAAACGTTGTTGCCTCTTGGACACATCGGCCGAGTCTTCCTTTTTTGGTCGGCCCGGGGTGTTGCCAAATACACCACACTCCTCACTCCTAGATTTTCCTCTAGGTTATGTAATTCTCCAAATGTCTTGAAAGGCGCCTCCTTGAATACTTTAGATTACTTAAGAAACACCCTGTGACAGTGTAGTGACTTATTACAATTTAAAAGGGAAAATGAACATATTTGTTTGTTTTTCTTCCAAGAAAAATGTCACGCACCATTGCTTTTTGCTAGTTTTGGCCACTGTTTTCTCAAATTAGCTTTTCGAGGTAAACTAATAAACAGGCCAACAAAATATAAAAAAAAACTTTTCGTGTCAGAGATCTAATAACTGAATTTAGATATACCGAATGTGCTGATTCTAAAACTAGCATCAGATTTTTTTCTATCACATCTAGTTTTTGAGTTGGAGACTAATTGAATTTAGTTCTAATAAAAAGCAAAAATAAATAAATCAACATCTCTTTAAAATTCAAAATAGGAATTTGATACTCAAAACTGGGATTTAATTAGCCAAATATATCTGAAATTGTCCGCAAAGCAATAATATTCCTAGACCTCGTTAATCCTCTGATATGTCGACGGACTGGGTTTCCGAAAGAAAACAGTAAAGTTAATTACTTCCACTTTAATATCACAAAAATATAGGTTCTTTATATGACCACGGTACCGCACGTGAAAACGTGCACATCGGCTGAGTCTTCCTTTTTTGGTCGGCCCGCGGTGTTGCCAAATACACCACACTCCTCCCTCCTAGATTTTCCTCTAGGTTGTGTAATCCTCCAAATGTCTTGAAAGGCGCCTTGTTCTGGCCGGCCGGGGAGTAACTGAGTCCCTGAAACCTGCTCTGGCGTGTTCTCTTCTAAAGAGGGTCCATCAGCAGACGGTGAAGGGATAACGACTCTTGGAAGAATCTCTGAGGATTCCGCGAATCGCGAAACGTCGTAGTTCTGACCGTCGGAGACAGGTACGGTCTCTTCGGTGAGTGTACGCGGACGAATTTCATCGGTATGTCTGCGTGTGATTTTACCATCGGGAGTTTTCACCTTGTAGCTGAGCGGTCCCGTTGATTCTATTACCGTTGACGGTAACCACCTTTGACCGGGAGCGTAAGACCTTACAAACACCGGATCATTCTCTTGGAAAGATCGAGGGGTTTCATTAGAAGAGTATTTGTCTTCTTGCTTGGCTGACATTTCTTTGGTGAAATCTGGTTGCATAGGGTCTAAAATCGTCGCTAACTTTCGTCCCATCAAGACATCTGCTGGAGATTGACCTGTTACGCTGTGGGGTGTAATGTGCTGAGTTAGTAGGTATCTTGACAAAGCTAACTGGACGTTCTCGTTCCCCATCTTCTTGAGTGCATTTTTTACATTTTGCACCATACGTTGTGCTTGTCCATTACTGCTTGGATGGTAGGAAGCGACCAAACCTTGACGAATCTGGTTGGTTTTGAGGAATTGTTGAAATTCTTCGGATGTAAAAGCTGTACCATTTTCCCTCATGACTTTGATAGTCGCTGCACTTGACGTGTTCGGGACCAAACGAATGAATCCAGAGAATGAATCAATTACAATTAAAAATGATTTACCATTCATGGGGCCTGCAAAGTCCAAGTGAAGTCGTGTCCGGGGTGCACGAGACCATTCCCATGGATGTACCGGAGCTTTTCTAGGCATATTTCGTGCTTCCTGGCACTCGGAGCAAGTTTTGATTTTATTTTCAATGTCACGGTCAAGGTTTGGCCACCAAACGTATGAGCGAGCAAGAGCCTTCATTTTTACCATGCCTGGGTGTCCAAAATGAAGAAGATCGGTCACACTTTTCCTCCCTCCTGGAGGTGTTATGACCCTGGTTCCCCAAAGGTAACAACTTATTTCGTTCTGTGGTTGAAAGAAAGGCTGAAATTCGTCAGGGAATTTAGATCTTTCCATCGGCCAACCTTTCCATACCCATTGTAAAACTTTGGATAGAATTGGATCCTTGGCTGTTTCACTGGCGATACGCTTAGCATCGACCACTCTTTCCGGGATGTTCTCAAACATCAAAACATCGGGTGCCTTGGGTGGTTCTGGAGTGTTTAATTTCTGGGGTAAACGACTAAGCGCGTCGGCGTTGCCAATTCTTGAGCCTGGAACCTGGTGTAAATTGTAGTCATACTCTGTGAGCATCAGAGTCCATCTTAACAATCTCAGTGAAAGGATTTCTGGGATTCCCTTCCTCGGGCTAAAAAACCTACGTTCAGATGCAGAATTTTCGTCCGTATAGGTAATCGTGGAACTTCTTAACTCCTACAATGATAGCGAGAGCTTCTTTGTCCAGTTGTGAGAAATTTCTTTCTGTTGAGGATAATGTGCGACTATGGTACGCCACTGGGACCTCTCTACCGGAGTCGTCAGGTTGACTGAAGACACATCCAACCCCAAATGAACTAGCATCGCAAGTAAGGAAGAGCTGTTTAATGTCCTAGTATGGGCTCTGTAATTAGGATATTCTTTAGTAAGTTGAACCCTTTTTCATGTTCTGCATGCCACTGCCAAGAGACCTTTATGTAGCAGATCATACAATGGATTAGCAATCGTTGCTTTGTCTTCAAGAAAAACGTGGTAGAAATTTATCCAACCGAGGAAAGCTTGCAATTCCGTTTTGTTGGTTGGCGCAGGCGCGTTAACAAATGCTTTCACCTTCTCTTTGGTCGGTCAAATTCCCTCTGCACTAATACTAAAACCTAAAAATTCTATAGATTTCGTGTGAAAAATGCATTTATCACGGCGTAGATTAAGCCCATCTTCTCGAAAACGGGTAAGTACTTCACGCACTTTACGGTCCAAATCTGTTTCGGAATGTCCAACTATGAGAATGTCGTCGTAATATGGAAGAACTCCTGGGATTCCGGTGAGTCTCATGTCCACGAAACGTTGGAAAATTTGGGGTGCCACGGAGACACCAAATTGTAAGCGTTTGCTCCTAAAAGGTCCTTTGTGTGTGATAATTTTCTGTGCGTCTGCAGCTTCTTGATCTACACTCAACTGCAGGTAAGCTTGAGCCATGTCTAGTTTTGCGAATATTTTACCACCTGCTAGAGCTGCTAATATATTTTGAACAGACGGAACTGGATAGGGGTCTGTACGTAACGCCTAGTTTATGGTACTTCCGTCACCATTGTCCTGGGCGACAACAACAATGGGAGTGGCCCGTTTTGGATGAATCACTGGCTCCAGCACACCTTGATCGACAAGTCTATCCAATTCACGATCAATCTTGTCCTTTAAAGCGAACGGTATCTTTCGGACTTTGAGAACGATAGGCTTGATGTTCGGATCTAAGGAAAAACTTACGGGAGGCCCTTTGAATTTCCCTAGAGTTGACTCCAATACTTCCGGGTATTCTTTGACAAGGTCTGATTTATCTGATTTATTCCTCTAATAGTTAAACCTAGCCTTCCAAACCAGTTTCTTCCAAGCAGGCTTGCTCGGTTGCCTTCAGTAACAATAACTGGAAGGGTAGCACTTTTTTGTCCCCGTTGTACGTTCACGTAACACTCGCCAATTGTCGAAATTAGCTGGTTTTGGTAATCTAGTAGAATTAAGTTACATGGCTTCACTTGTGGAGGATTGTCCCTGAAAAGTTTTTGAAAGGTTGATTTGAATATGATGGAATATCCAGCGCCCGAATCGATTTCCATTCTTATCGGTTTCTTATTCAGGAGGACGTCTACCAGATATTTACCAGTGATGCTGTCCCATTTCACATTGTTAAGCGAAAAATGGTACACCTGGTCTTCCGAACTGTGCTCATTTTGTGGCACGTTTTTGAAATTGCTTTCACTAGATTGTTGGTTCACTTTTGGTTTTTGTTTTGAATGTTTTTTCTTTGAGAAACATGCATGTTCTACGTGTCCTATTTTGCCGCAAAATTTGCACTTTGCGTTTTTGTAGACACACGAGTCTGGTGAGTGCTTTTCTTCGCAGCGAAAACACCTTTTGGAAACTCGGGAAACGCTTGTTTTCAGCTTCGAGGGGTCTTTGTTTACCTTTTCGCGTGCGTTTACGTCATGTACATCAGCTGATTGTCCGCCGCCTTCTTTGATGATTGCAAGGATGCGTGCTGCCACCTCGTGAGCAGGGCACATATCATGCGCTTTTTTTGAAGGTAATGTTTTCTTCCGCGAGCAGTCGTCGTTGAAGCCCGTCATCGCGCACGCCGCATACGAGTCTATCACGCAACATAATCTCAAAGTTATCGAATCCACAGCTTTCGGCCAACTGGCGTAGCTCTTTGATGTAGACGGAAATGTATTCCTCGGGCTGCTGGTCCCGCCGATAAAACTTCGGGAAACGACCTCTGACGTACGAGGTGCGAAATGATCAGACAAGGCCGTGATTATTTCCTCGTAGGTCTTTTCCGTTACCTTCATTGGTGCTATGAGCGATCGAATTATGTCGTAGGTCGCCGGTCCGCAGATGCTCAGAAATACGGCCTTTTCTTTCCCGCGTCCGTTATGTCGTTAGCGGTCAAGTAAAAGTCGAGGCGTTCCTTGTAAGAGTCCCAGCTTTTCGAATCGTTAACGTTGAAATGTTCAATATTTCCGAAGGACGCCATGTTAACTTTTTTCGGCTGGCGTGTCGCGCTTACGTACCGGGCAAAGTAACACGTTTCTTCACACACTTTAGCGCGAATACTCGTGGCATCCCATCCTTGTCGCCAAAATGATATGTCGGCGGACTGGGTTTTCGAAAGAAAACAGTAAAGTTAATTAGTTCCACTTTAATATCACAAAAATACAGGTTGTTTATATGACCACGGTACCGCACGTGAAAACGTTCTTCCCTCTTGGACACATCGGCTGAAACTGCCTTTTTGGTCGGCCCGCGGTGTTGCCAAATACACCACAAAATCATAAGCGGCACTGAATCCGAAGAGTCCGGACGACCGATTCAGATTCATTTGAATTAGAATTATTGTTGTGTCTATATTTTTTGTTTTAGTTAGAATCATAGATAGTTAGCTGTCTTTTACTTTTTATTGCATCATGATTTTATCAAAATAAGTGCGACATATTGGGTTGTTCCAGTAATACATTAATTTGTTCAAATTAAACATCTGTGTGGAAATAGATATTTCATTCAACATTCAATTCAATACATAAGCAAATCGACCAATCGATATCGCAATTCGTCTACAATTATTATAATACTCCCATTCCTTTTCCGTGGTCTGTTCCTGTCGTGCATTTCAATCTTAAACCATTCAAATGAACCGTATTCCGCAAAGGGAATTCGATTTGTGTTGGTACGGTCGATCCATCGATCGTCGTCTCACTTCAGACCAGTCAGGGCCGCAGCGAGAGCGAAAAATGTGTTCGAATCATTACGAACAAACAGGATTCGTTCGTTCGATCATTGGAAAAGATTTAATAAGTGACCGAGTCAATCACTGTTGACACAACTCTATTTCTAATTTGAAAATGAGACGAATAAGAGATGGTGCTTGAGACGTCGCTTTGCAATAGAAGAGCCAGAGATGGCACCACTATGAATCAAAAGTCCCCTTGACTTTTTCACCCCATTTTGAGATGTGCGTTTTGCAAGAATTTTTTAGGCGATTTTTGTGTGTATGTGTTCATAGTTATGGGATTTTTGATTTGACTTTGTATGTTTTGAGTTTGTGGTTTCATTTAGAAAAGTGAGTTAAAATACTTGCTTACTTTAGTGTTTGGTCTGCAATTTGTAATAAGTAATTTTATATATGTATTTCCATTTGTTGTAGAACGTGCAGAGAATATTAGTAATGATATTTCGACTAAAACTTAAGCGTGCTGTGTAGCCGAACCAACATGAGGCATCGTTTTCAGAAAAACTCTCCAAACATATTCAAGTTATGAGTGGATAGAGTTAAACCAAAAGGGCCCGAAGTTTTCACAGTGGACAGAAAATATGTCGTTTGTGATTACCATTGCATTCCAAGTGATATCATATTATAAGAAAGGAGAGGTATTAAACCAACAGCAGTTCCCTGTTTGCTTATCGCCCGTGACTTTCTACATTATTTTATTTATATTGTAAAAATATTGAATTATTTCAGTTATATCTGACTTATATATTTTAAATAGATATTTACTAAACTTTTTTCAGCTTGCCAGTGTCTGAATTTTTCAATTTACAATTTCATCCAACTTCTTCTGCAAAAACTTAATATTCATTTTTTTAATTTCAGATACAACTGATGCCACTACTGCAGCGACTGATTTTGATTTTTTGATGTCTGATGCAGCAAATGCAGAGATACAAAATATGGACATAGCTGCTGCTGGTCCTTCTACACAGTGTAAGTATCTATACTGGAAATTAAAATCTACATTTTTATTTTATTTCAAAATACAAATATTCATTGATCTAGAGTTGATAACACATTTGATTTTTTTTTCATTATAATTTTATTATTCATACTACCACACAGATTGAATGTAGTTTGATAAAGTTAATCAAAAGGTACAAAATATGTGCAGGACTGCTGTTGGAACTTCTACACTTTTCCAGAATATTGCTGTCAAAAGGCGTATATATATATACCGGGTGATTCAAATTCGACTTTCATCATTAGGATCAATGAGAATGTACTTACAAATTTTTGGTAAGTTTTAAAATGAAGACATAAAAAAAATGAAAATAAAACCGGAAGTTTCAGATTTTCCGCCATATCTTCGGAAGCAAGAAAAATAAGTTCAATTTCAAAGCAGGATATTAATGAACTCACCGATTGCAACTTTGCCCTAGTTTAGGTCACCCTGTATCTCTTACCGTTACCGAGATCCTAATGGTGAGATTCGAATTTGAAACACATACACATTTATTATAAGTTGCAGTACACATTTAATTCTTTTAGAGAACCTTTGAACAAGATTTTAGAGATATTAGGACAAGCTAATGTCACTCGTCACTTCAGATTAGAGTAGGAACTGCCGAAAAACTAATAAATACACCAAATTATGGTAATTTGCTGCACCATGTAAATGTCACTTTTTCAATGTTATATGGCCGTTTCCAGTCTGTGGCTTGTAAACAAGCATAGCGAGAAATTACTATTTTTGAGTGTATCCCAGATAGTTTTTTCATTTTGTGAGTGTGGGTGAGTCTTTTATTTGTATGAGTTTAGTTTGTTGTATTTTATTGATTTGTTTTGCTTCTACGTTTCAAGTAAATGCTTACCTAAGAAAATTGGTCATCAACATGACATTGGTCAACAAAAGTATTTTCATTCATCTAATAAATAGGGTTTGGAGTTATTTCTCTGTGAGCTGAATCGTGAAGATACTAAATCAAGATACTTTCAACAAAATGGCAAAGATTTCAGATAATATCTGACACTGAATTGATATGAAGAATAGGCAAGAAGTAACTGACCAAGACCCGTTTCTTATCATAATATAAATATCATAAGCTTAATGTTAATGGGAGTAGGAAATAGGCTAATAAAATGGGGATGGAATTTTGAACATCTCAATTTGCTAATCAGTTTTTGATTTATGAAATCTTCAATCATTTTCATTAGTTCTATATACCGCCTTTGACATTTCCACTCTTCAAATATGTAAATCCAGTAGTTATGTGTGTCAATTGCTGTAGATATGGGCATGTTAAGACTAATTGCATAGGAAATGCGCCTAACTACACCTTCTTGATTAAACAATATCTAATAGACAAGCCTTACTTAAATATACTTAATCTAATTCATGAAATTGTAGAATTGGCCGGTCAACTTTTTTGGTGTAAATTGACCAAACTAATTTTAAAAGTACAATGAAATGAATAAAAACAATTTTTTTTTAATATAATCATTGAAATAAGATAACACATCTTCATTTTAACAAAAAATAAAAACTAGAAAATTAACCAAAACATATTTCATATTTCTATTTTAACTTAAAATAATAAACAAATAATATTTAAAAGTTTTTTTGGAAATACTTTTACACTATTTCAAAACAAACAAAAATAATAAACATGGTTAATTATGAGACAAATAGGCAGTGATAAGTTGTGTGTGACCAGTTCCTTTCACAAGAAGCTGAGGAGACCGGCATTCTTAGTAGTTTTGTTCATACCATTTGACTATCGATTTTTTTTGCTAATTATTCCACCAAGTCATGATATTTTACATATTGATTTCATGGTTTTTACGGTTGTCCATATTCGATTATTTCAATTTCTAAGTTGTACGATTAACATAGTCGCTCATTGCAGTTCTTGTGGAGCTAGATTTTCCCCTTGATATTTAGGATAAATGAATATGCTGTATTGGGCGTACCAGTACATGCAATATCTTTTTTTTTTATTACTAATGCAGTTATTTCTTCTTTTCTTCTTTTATCAAGCACAGTTTGTGACGGACAAATGGCAGAAGTATTTTCAAGAAAGGTAATCAGACGAACAAACTAACCAAAACTAAATGGAGTCGATCGATAATCGCTAAATATGTATTCTGGGTATTCCATTGAAGAGGGCTATAGGTAAATTGGACATTATGATAGATAGCACTCTACAAGTGTAAGATGTTATTTAAAACATTTTGATCGAATTTGACTAGTCAATTCACGGTGAACTCACTACTAATTCATATACCTCAAAATCTTGCATTTTCCGAGTCATCTAAGAAATTTTCAAAATAAGATTGCTTCATGCATATTATACAAGTAATAAAATAAGGAAACTATTTAAAATATTTAAATATTTAATAAATCCAAGGTCTAGGGCAAATATATTTATGAAAATTTAAAAAAATCATTTTTGTGAGCTCATTTATATAAATAACCCCATACTGATATACATACCAAATTGTGCGTACGATTAAAAAAACAAACTTCTACGTCAAAAAAATCCAAAATGACCGTGTATTTTTGTTAACGTCATGTTTTGTTTCACAAAAAAAGTAGCTAAGAACTGCAAGAACTCAAGGTTGTCTCTTCACTAACAACAAACAAAATGAAACAGAGTGTAGAATTCATATAGTATACTTATCAACTAACTATACAACACTAACTAAATTTACTCAAGGGATTAAAACCACAAAAACATCAAAATGTTAAACCAAGATGTCACTAAACAAACAGGAAATCCACGACACAAAAAAATAATAATAAATACAAATACTATAATAAAAAAAATCAATAAGTATGAGAAACAGAATTATATCACCAAATTCACCGTCTCAACATGTATCTCCAATTGAACACAAAAAACACGACATCGACGCTTCAAAAATTTTAGAAAACAAATTATATCGTAATATCAGTCTTTAAAATAAATTAAGGCATTCGTAAAAAAAATTATAACAATCACGTTTCAATCTAAAACAACAAACCCAAGTATATTTTCTTAAAAAAAATATCTAATTCAATTTCCCGATTTTTAAAAAATTACATATTTCTTAAAAAACAGATGAAGTACAGTCCCGATTATCCAAAATGAGAGAAGTTACAGCAGGTGAAAAAAATATTGCTTTCAAGTTGAGCGAGCACGAGCATTGTCTAGTAACACAACACATTTTCTGGGGTACTCTGTGCTCTTAAAAAAAACTACTTATGGTATTTGAGGCCAACATTTTGAAGTTCAAACCCGTTTCGTCACAAGTGTAGACCTGGTCTGGTTGCAGCACTTACACCATTGCGAGTTTTTTCTCTGGAACCGTACTTACGCTTACATCTAAATCATTTACTTTATTTTTTTATAAATCACTCTTATCTAATACTTGAACCGCTTTAAGTTTTTCTTGCAAGCCGATAACAACGCCTACATTTATTGCCCTGACGGTGCATTTTGTGAAATATGTCCAAATAAAACTACTCTTCTTGAATAACAAACGTTATTATACACTTGGAGCGCTCTGAATTTTTGTTTTTTGATAGTTTATTTCGGATAAACCGGATTTCGGAAAATCGTGATTCGGATAATAATATATATAAGATTATAATTCTCGAGAGAAGTGGCATGAATTAAAAATACTTAATATTATATAAAGCAAACAAACAAAAACACTCTACCTAATTGTCGTAATAACGCCCATGCTACTTTAATTGATTAAATTGAAAAAATTTAAATGTCAGTGTAGTGGCGGTTACTGGGGCAATTGTACAAGTTATCCCCACTAATGATTATACTGTTGCTCTTGAGGGGAAATCTCGTCCTGACTTAAAATTTAAAATATATATAAATGCAGTAGACATGGGTGTTAATTGCAGTAGATATGGGCAGGTTAAGACTAATTGCATAGGAAATGCGCATAACTACACCTTCTTGATTAAACAATATCTAATAGACAAGCCTTACTTAAATATACTTCAATCTGATTCATCAAATTGTAGAATTGGCCGGTCAATTTTTTTGGTGTAAATTGAGCAAAATAATTTTATGTTAGGTCTAATTGCAGACGGAAGGTACCTAACTATACCTTTTTGATTAAACAGTAATATGCAAATCTTACTTGAAAATACTGCAATTTAATTTTTATACTCATAAATTTTCAAAATAATTGTTTACGGTAATTTAAGTTTTTGCTTTCGATTTTTTATCGAATTGAAACTTGACAAGGGTATAATAAAATAAGCATCACTAATATAAATAGATTATTCGGATATCAATGATGAACGGGTAGCAATGCACTTTTCAAAATGTGAATTATCTGTTTTATTTTTTTATGGGTCCCCTCTATCTTAAACTTGTCCTTTCATTAGCCTTTCTTTATGAGTCCCCAAAAAGCATATCATCTCACCTGTAGGTTTATCTACCGTCATAATGTTTGATGTTGTTCAGTTCCATTGGAAACATATGTGTAGGTAAAGAAGGTAAAATTTTTGAACCCTTATGGATTCTAAAGTTCCGGAATCCTCAAAAACTATTTAATTTTTCGGCATAAATTTTTGTCGGTCAAAATAGATAGATATTAATAAATATATTAAAAGGCACACTTAAAAGCAATCAGGAACAACCTGTTCATAAATATAAACCAATCAAAATTATAATTTTTTTCAATATGTTGTTACAATTAAAATAATAATAAAAAACACGTCTTTAAATCTCTGCATGGTTTGCTGAAATTCATGACGCGTTTCTACATTTCGTTTCTCGAAGGTATCTATCGTTCCCAATGCGCCATGGCCTCCTCTGCAACTTCCGCTTGTTTTAAAAATCTGGAAGCCCTCTGGTCAGTACCAAGGCTTTTTTATCACTAATTGCCTCCCAATACCAATTACACTTTAATTCCAAATATCCATGATTTCCGATGTTTTATTACGACCCAATTTACAAATTTACTATCTGTAATCAACCGATCATTAAGTGAATCGAAATTTGCCAATGAGGATTTAATTTTCTGTAAACGGTCATGTAATTTTTATGTTTACATTTACATATAAACCATATATTATATTCAGTGAAAGTACTAAAAAATAAATAAAAACGTTATCCTAATATTTAAGTATCCAAACTAATTCAACCACAAATGTAAAATAATTACTAACAATCACGTTCTAATGTAAAAGAACTGCTCCAAGTCTCCATCTATTTTCTTAAAAAAATTTCTATCTAAATCAATTTCCCAGCCTCAAAAATTACCCACGTAGTTTGATCGATTTGTAAAATCATATCACTAACACCAATTTCTGCCACCAATTAATTATTTTCAAAAATTACATATTTCTTATCAAACATATTTAAAACAAAAAAAAGTATAAAAACACAAAAATTTATCAAAAATAGATACGATATTATATACTCACACTTTGTCCAACAGCTTTTTGAATGAGTATTTCATTTTTATATTTTATGTATCTGTTATCAGAGTCAGTTGATCGAATATTTGTATGTAAAAATTGAAGTTCAAAATAATAGTATTATCTTAAGAAATATTTACAGGTCCTCTAATTCCGATTTTATGCAAAAACTAGGGAACAAAGTTTTCTGTTAGGAAAGAAAAA